GTTTTACTTGGCTATGAGGGGAAGGGGGTTTGTTTTAAAAGCTTGGAAAGTTTGTTTAAAATTGGAAAGTTACAAAAGGAGGAAAGCACAAACATTTTCCTAAAACACCGAATCAAGGCAAAGGTGATTCTAAGAGCTCCTGATAAAATCACTGGTTTTATAAGCAAAAAAATAACACATACAGATATAGACTATGTAAAAAAAATTGAAAAAAAATCTGTTCTTGGTTTGAAAATATTATTTCCTGTTTAATTGTGGTACTTATTTTGAAAGTAGGTGTTATACAACAGAAACTTTGTTTTTGTGACTGCCAGAAACTATGTTGAATTGGTTGAGACTAGATGAGATACTCATTGAAAAACTCGAGCGAAACATACTGTAGGATGTTCTTCAAAAACAAAGTTTGCGCAGTTTTATACACTTTCCCCATGTTTTTATGACAGAACCAATAAGGACACAGGAACAAAAATCGTGTTCCTTTTCATTATTTTAAGCCAAAACAGAAAAGAAATTTAGAATTAAAATCTACATGATAATTTGCCTTCTGCATACAGTAGGAAATGTTATGAAATGAAGAGAAGCCTAACAAGTTGTTATTCTTTTTGAGCAGAGAGAGCTTTCTATGCTCATCATTTTGAAGGCAATCCAAATGAATTGCAACACCCTAATTATTAAAATTAAGTATTAAATTATTGATTAGTTAAACTAATAATTAGCAGAACACCACAAAATTTAAAATAATTTACAATATTTGCAGGACACGGATCTCACAGAAGTGGAGAAATATCAAAAAATGAACACAAAAAAGTAGAAATACAATAGGTTCCTTACTACTGAAAACATTTTCCCCAAACCAGAAGCCTTCCTAAAGTGAATTATTAAATTGAAGAAGTAAATCTAGATTTGAATTGATCAAATAAAATCTTTACTCATTTTAATCTGAAGACACTTTATACTATAAGCCTGCTAAAACTCATCAAGGGATGACCTTCATAGACTAGAACAGTTTAGCTGCAGCTTAGAAAGAATTGGAATCTTTATTCCAGTGGTTTCATAGGACAGGAATTCTGGTGGAAGACAAAAGAGTATAGCAATCCTTATGGACAGCCATTTCTATACATAATGAAGCTTCAAGAAGCATGAAACACAAAGCAAGGGGCTTGACCGCAGTATAAAAACAGAAATCCCATTTATCAAAAATGCCAACAGGCTTGGCTCTTCTTCCCATTCCTATGGCAAATATAAATCCATCAGTGCAGAAATCCACCTTATAACAGCCTCCCCCTTATTTGTTATTTTTAGCTACTTCATCTGACAACGCCCAACAACTAAGCAGGCTGAGAATAGTAAAGGGGGGAAAGGATATATCAAGTACTAAGAGAGAAAACACAACTACAATCACTTCCTTCCATGAGGAGGAATGGGTGTTTCCCATTCCTTTGATATCAAAAAGTTACACCACATTTAAACACAAGTACTGCAGGGGAAACAGATTATATTTTTCTGAAAGCAAGTTTTCCTACAATCTGTGGACCGTTTTTTTTTTAAAAAAACAAGGAGGAAATGTGATTTTTTTGTCAGCAAATTTTAACAAGGAGGAGGGCCTGCATCATTCCTATAGTTCCAAAATACAACTCCCCCTTTTCCACAATATACATCTTAATAAAACAAATCAAAAACAAGCAATATTATCAAGTGTTTGGGAACACACATTTTCAACTCAGAGAAGGCTGTCCAGGACAGAATGCACTTCTTGAAAAGGGGCCATACTGCAGCTGTAATGCACATATTTTGCAAACTAAGGGCTCTAGGATGAGATGCCTACATATCTACATCACAAAATTAGGGGTTGTCTTTTGGAGGGTTTTTTTTTGGGGGGGGGGGTGATATTTTCAATCCATAAATGGTTTAATCCATGGCTGCAGAATCCATGGATATGGAGAGTTAGTTGCAATTCCACTGTTATTGTTGTTTGTGTGCCTTCAAAGTAGTTTGAGTGATGTCAACCCGAAGGCAAACCTATCACAAGATCTTCTTGACAAGATCTGTTCACAGAGGGTTTGCCTTTGCCTGTTTCTGAGGTTGAGAATGTGTAACTTCCCTAAGGTTCCCCAGTGTGGTTGGAAGTCTGATTTCCAGAGTTGTAAAGCTCAAACCACTGCACCACAATGTCTTTCTATAATTCCATGCAGTCCTGGAAACTGCGACAATCACCATGAACTCATGAATTATGCAGGAGGTTCAAAAAGCAGGACAAGTAAACTATGTTTTCTGCAAGTCGTAAGAAGAGTTCCATCAAACAAGAGCAAGGAGAAAGCATTCAGAGCTGGAGAGTATGCAAAATGAAGTTAAGAAAATAAGGTAGTCAAAAAGGAATTTGACAGTATATAATTTGACAGTATATAATTTGAGCCCAAAAGTTGTACCCCAAGCAGGACAGAAGAGGCCAGCTGTGCTGTCCAAGGCTATTAAAGAGCTGAAAAAAAGACTCATCCTTTATGTTTAGACTAGCAAGCCCTCTGTTCATATCATTTCCTGCAGAAGCACACTTGTAATAAGTGTTAACTGCTGTTTTTTAAGTGGGTTTTAAGATGCTGGATAATAATTACTCTAACTAGCCACAACTAGTGTGCATTTTTATGTCTCCAGGTTACCTTGGGAAGTCAAGTTAGACATTTTAAATGAACAAAAGAAACCCTTAGAGACAATGTCTGATGGTAGTTTGATACTGAGTAAATGCCACCTATACAGTGAATAGTGGAAAGGCGTGAAAGAAGTTGTTGTTGTTCATTCGTTCAGTCGTCTCCGACTCTTCGTGACCTCATGGACCAGCCCACGCCAGAGCTCCCTGTCGGCCGTCACCACCCCCAGCTCCTTCAAGGTCAGTCCAGTCACTTCAAGGATGCCATCCATCCATCTTGCCCTTGGGGACAATTTCCTTGTCTTCTCTAGGCTTTCCTGTCTCCTCATGATGTGGCCAAAGTACCTCAACTTTGTCTCTAGTATCTTTCCCTCCAGTGAGCAGTCGGGCTTTATTTCCTGGAGGATGGACTGGTTGGATCTTCTCGCAGTCCAAGGCACTCTCAGAACTTTCCTCCAACACCACAGCTCAAAAGCATCGATCTTCCTTCGCTCAGCCTTCCCTAAGGTCCAGCTCTCACATGCGTAGGTTACTACAGGGAATACCATGGCTTTGACTAGGCGGATCTTTGTTGCCAGTCTGGTGTCTCTACTCTTTACTATTTTATCGAGACTGGACATTGCTCTCCTCCCAAGAAGTAAGCGTCTTCTGATTTCCTGGCCACAGTCTGCATCTGCAGTCATCTTTGCACCTAGAAATACAAAGTCTGTCACGGCCTCCACGGTTTCTCCCTCTATTTTCCAGTTGTCAATCATTCTTGTTGCCATAATCTTGGTTTTTTTGACGTTTAGCTGCAACCCGGCTTTTGCGCTTTCTTCTTTCACCTTGATTCGAAGGCTCCTCAGCTCCTCCTCGCTTTCGGCCATCAGAGTGGTGTCATCTGCATATCTGAGGTTGTTAATGTTTCTTCCAGCAATTTTCACCCCAGCTTTGCATTCATCAAGCCCCGCACATCGCATGATGTGTTCTGCATACAAGTTAAAAAGGTTGGGTGAGAGGATGCGGCCTTGCCGTACGCCTTTCCCAATCTTGAACCAGTCTGTTGTTCCGTGGTCAGTTCTTACTGTTGCTACTGGTCCTTATACAGATTCCTCAGGAGAGAGACAAGGTGGCTTGGTATGCCCATACCACCAAGAACTTGCCACAATTTATTATGATCCACACAGTCAAAGGCTTTAGAATAGTCAATAAAACAGAAATAGATGTTTTTCTGAAACTCCTTGCCTTTCTCCATTATCCAGCAGATAGTGACAATTTGGTCTCTCGTTCCTCTACGTTTTCTAAACCCAGCTTGAACATCTGGCAACTCTTGCTCCATGTATTGCTGGAGTCTTCCTTGCAGGATCTTGAGCATTACCTTACTGGCATGAGAAATAAGGGCTACTGCTTAAATCTGTTCAGAAAATTGTAGCAATAATGGGACACTTTGATATGCAATATCAAGGCCTTTGTACACATCTTAAGTGTTTCCCCATTATAATATAACAATTAAGCCACCATTCCATTTCACACTGACCGAAAACTCCATAACATGGCTACAGAGATCATGGCTACTACCACAAAACCAGTAGAGCAATAGAAATGAGGCTTTCTTTGGGGTACTGGCCCTTAACTATTTCCAACTGTCATAGCAATGAGGTCACTATGGCTGCCATCACAGAGAAATGACAGCTGTTATTCACAAATACATTTTTGAAAGAGGAGCAAATATAGCTCTAACATGTCTGCCATTTTTCCTGGAGGGCATCTGACCTGCACTGGCCGCCAAGGCTGTCCTTAGCTGCAGAGTCAAGAGGACTTTGTCTTTATATGATCAGACCTGACATTCAGTCCCAAATGTTATTAAAATGTTAACTTACTTCATATCATTAGCACAGTTGTCCCCGAAGATATCTATTCCCTTCTTTCCATTTTAAACAAATTGCTAAAATTAGATGCTCACAGATTGGAAAGTGCCAGAAGACCTCCCTCAATGAAGGACCTTTTAAAATATATTTACGCTGCCACAAACATATTTGCCATGCCACTGTCTTTGTCAAGGAGAAACATTTCACTGACCTATCTTTAAGACTCAGATTATCATATGCTGACAAGGAAGGTTCCTTCAGCAATTACACAAGAGGGGATAGATTGGCATACTGGCCTTTTGGAAAAGAAATTTCTGCAACAGGATATCTGCACGAAATGCACAGTGAGGATAATGCATAAGAAACGAACTGCAACTTTAAAAAACAAACATGCCACTAACAGTTATGCAAATGGACTTCTGTTTCAACATTCTAATTTGGAGAAGAAAGGCACTGAACATAAAAATAAAAGATTTAATAGAAGACAACAATTTTAGGGATCAAAAATGTACCTCCAGTTCTTTAATTTTGTCTTCTGCTATCTTCTGTTTTTCTAGAAGCTGGTTGTGAATTACTCCTTTAGACTGAAGGATAAACCTACAGAAACAGAAGGGGTCGGGAGAGAGTACAAACTTGTTGATTAAACATTGAAGAATGAGATCATTTAAATAACTGAGCAAACTCTTAACAAGTAACACAGCATATAGATGCCAAAGATCACAGGCTTGTTTCAGTTTGCAGCACTGAAATTGAGGGAACTGAACTTGTGTGAAATATAGACTCCTGGCTGGACAAGATACAGTAAATGCATATTCAGTGTAACAATAACACTATGTAACAAACTTTGAAAAAAAATTCTGTTCCTGGTTTGAAAATATTATTTCCTATTTATTTTTGCAGTACTTACTTTTAAAGTAGTTGTTATACAACATAAACTTTGCTTTTGTGGCTGCCACAAACTATGTCGAATTGGTTGAGAATAGATGAGATATTCACTGAAAAACTAGAGCAAAATGTGCTGCAGCATGTTCCGCAAAAACAAAGTTATTGCAGTTTAATAAACTTTTTCCATGTTTTTATGATAGAACCAATTAGGAAATGACATTTATAACACGGGAACAAATATTGTGTTAGATAATGTAATCAGACAGGTGGTGGTGGGGGTGGTAATAATTATTTTTTAATAGACAGGGTAATCCTGGTAGTGTCTATATCCAAAACTAACATCCAATTTGATGTTGGAACTTAGAGTAAGTGAAGAATTTTGTTGGTCTGCCTTGTTTCACAACAAAAACATTCTCCATGGAATCCATCACATACAGTACCTAATTCCACTAAACCTGCAATTCAAAACAACTTGTACACTTTGTTCTGATGTGGTCATTACAGTAATTCTTATCCTCGAGTCCCTGTTTGCCATCTGTAAGCCCATCCATTCCCTAGCAAGAACCTACTTTATAATGTAAAAGGGAATATTACTCTGCCAGTGAATTCCACATAATCAATATTTTGCAGAGTGGCTTCAGACTAATGTTAATAACTTCAGACCAAGAAGCACTACTTCTTCCAGGTTTCTGAGTAGAAATTGAACCTTTACTGACGCTAAAAACCATAGATAATGTTCTGGGGTAGACTCTCCTACCTTCTCTTTTTATTGTGCTCAAAAGGAGTGGCAGTGAAATTTGAAAATGTACTGCAAAATTCTCAAAAATATTTTTGTAGATACTATTCACAAACATATTTTCCCAAATTTTTTTTGATAATTTCCTAGACCATTTGACACATACACTTTAAGCCATTTTACTATTTAAGTTACACGAGTCTTCAATACAATTTTAAATCATGTTTTTCAACGGTTACAATCCGCATGAGAAAAATATAAGAAAAAAATGAAAAATATGTTCATTTCAGTTATTAAAACTCCTGCACATGCATCTTCCCAGGTCAACCCAGGTTGAGTAAAAATGAGACAGAAAGCAACTAGCCCTGTAGAGACCTGCTTCTGGTGATGGCAAACCCTCTTTTCATTCATCTTATGAGAAATGGAAGAAGGAGAAGATGGAGAAGAGCAGTAGCAGAGAGGAAATGCATGGTCAGCAAAGCAGCAGGTAGGAAGATAAAAGAGGAGAAGCATGCATTTTAGGATTGCGGAGAATGTTCTTTAATCTGGAAATGTACTATAAAGTTCTCAAGGCATCCAGAATACTCAAGACACCTCCACAGATGCAAGAAGAATCCAGACTTTAAATAAGATATATTATTTGTGGAGGTAAAGAAACATTAAAAAAATTCTCAGAGAATAATCTTTTGGAAAATATTCTGAAAATAATATTATGAGGATAGTCTCCAAAAGATTACTGAGAATTTCTTGAAAATCTTCTCATCTCACATCACTAATTGTGAAAAGCACAAAGAGATTCAATCTCTGCCTATGAAGCAGCAATAGCAAGGTCATTGTTAGCTGTGATACTATAACCGATGGAATAGCGCATTCTGATGTAGTCGCTTAGGGTGGTGATGCAGGATTTGCCTTGGAGGCGTATTCCCATCAATGCCAGTTCACCAAGTCCCTCTGTATGGGGGCAACCTGCAGAAGCACAGTTCTACACTTGAGCATTAGAAATAATGTGTCTAGAAACAATGTTTCTGGAAATAATGTGAACATGTCTGGCATTTTAATACCTTCCAATCTTGCATTTTTCTGCTCTCTTCCCAGGCTAGGTATGAACTAGACAGAGCTTCTAAGGCTCCCCATTTCAACACTTAGCTGGGAAAAGTTGAAAGGCACAGAAAGGAAATGAGTTGCTCATGTGGGAAATAAAACACTCTGGGGCGGTTGTAAATGTCGTGGGGCTCTTTATAAATAAGGTCTGAGAATGAGTATGTGCACAGATAAGGGTGAATAGATGAATATGTGCAAATACACTAGGAGTTCCTCACCAGCCATAGAGAAATGGTCCCTGAAATGCTGAGCTGGGGCATTTGTGCACTCAGGCTGACAAAGACTCTTCACTTCTGCTGTAGTCATGTTGGTGGATGATTGTATTGCATGTAGGTGGAGCTGTTGGTGTGTCCATCTGAGTATATCAAACTATTCATACTATCAAGTTTGACAGTTGCTGTTACTATCATTCACTTTTCTTCCAGTAATGAGATTCAAGATTCCTAACAACATACTTTTAAAAAATGCATTTTAAAAGCTATATGAAAACTTGGATAAAAGTAGAAATATAAACATCATTCAAAAGCAATTAAACAATTTATAAATTTAAAACAAGAAAAAAAATGAAAAACATCTAAAATGCTAAAAAAAATACTGATGTTGTGTGTCATCAAGTAGTTTCCTTGATACAGTGACTCTAAGGCATCTTGACAAGTTGTTATCCGGGGCAAGAATATGACTTGCCCCGGATCACTTAATGGACTTTCACGGCTGAGCAGGGATTTCAATATATCCAGATGACACCACCCTGATGGCCGAAAGCGAGGAGGAGCTGAGGAGCCTTCTAATCAAGGTGAAAGAAGAAAGCGCAAAAGCCGGGTTGCAGCTAAACGTCAAAAAAACCAAGATTATGGCAACAAGAATGATTGACAACTGGAAAATAGAGGAGAAACCGTGGAGGCCGTGACAGACTTTGTATTTCTAGGTGCAAAGATTACTGCAGATGCAGACTGTGGCCAGGAAATCAGAAGACGCTTACTTCTTGGGAGGAGAGCAATGTCCAGTCTCGATAAAATAGTAAAGAGCAGAGACATCAGACTGGCAACAAAGATCCGCCTAGTCAAAGCCATGGTATTCCCTGTAGTAACCTACGGATGTGAGAGCTGGACCTTAGGGAAGGCTGAGCGAAGGAAGATAGATGTTTTTGAACTGTGGTGTTGGAGGAAAGTTCTGAGAGTGTCTTGGACTGCGAGAAGATCCAACCAGTCCATCCTCCAGGAAATAAAGCCCGACTGCTCACTGGAGGGAAGGATACTAGAGACAAAGTTGAAGTACTTTGGCCACATCATGAGGAGACAGGAAAGCCTAGAGAAGACAATTATGCTGGGGAAAGTGGAAGGCAAAAGGAAGAGGGGCCGACCAAGGGCAAGATGGATGGATGGCATCCTTGAAGTGACTGGACTGACCTTGAGTGAGCTGGGGGTGGTAACGGCCGACAGGGAGCTCTGGCGTGGGCTGGTCCATGAGGTCACGAAGAGTCGGAGACGACTGAACGAATGAACAACAACATCCAGAACCATAGTTCCAGGACTCAAACAGCTAAATCACGCCAGCACTCTAAGAACTGGTTCATAGAAATTCAAATGCTTAAGAGACTAAGGGTGTGTCACAACTCAATATTTTCTTAATTTATTTTAATATGAGTAATTGGGAATTCTCTGTCCCAGGGAGCCCAAGCTAGCAATATAAACTGAACAGAAAAGATATACTAGGAAAAAATAAAATCCTCACTAATGGAAAATGACATTAGACCAGTGGTTCTCAATCTGTGGGTCCCCAGGTGGTTTGGCCTATAACTCCCAAGGCAACGGGGATGTCAGGGGAGGAGAGGCTGAATCCCCATGAAACATTAGTACTGCCATATCAGCTCTAGATTATTAAATATGGTTTTCTGTGGGTGAGCAGATGGTGACTACTGGATGGTATATGTTCTGTATCAGAAACTGAAGCTGATGTGGTCTATCTAATGCAATTTTCTGAATCAGTACCCCCAAATAACCAAACCGAATCTAAAGTTGACCAAAATCGATTCGTAACTCTTTTGGTACTAATGTTGGAGAGTGGGCCCTGGTCAAAGTGGTCCCTGTTCAAGTGGTCCCTAGTCAAAAAAAAGGTTGGGACTCACTGCTTTACAGCAATTGTAGTTGGACTAATAGTTTTTTAATATTAAAATAGCAGGCTGTAGGTACAAGAAGGAATCAATTGCTGGCAGGATTGCAAGGAAGGACCCATCTTGGCCACCTTAGAGAGAAAATTCCAAAGACTGGGAACACCTACTCAGAAGGACCTTGTTCTTCAGCCCCCAAAGGAGTCTGAGACATAGGGAAGAGTCATTCCAGAAGCATCAAAGGGCTCTTAACGAGAGATACAATCTACAAATAGCCTGGACTGAAGCCTCATTGGACTTTATGGGTGAAAAACTGCACTTTGAATTATAATTGGAAACAAAGCGGCAAAAATATGACAGTAAAGTATCAAATCAATACAAGCATTGACCATGTTCTCAATCTCCAAATGTCTGCTGTTGTTGTTGTTGTTCATTCGTTCAGTCGTCTCCGACTCTTCGTGACCTCATGGACCAGCCTACGCCAGAGCTCCCTGTCGGCCGTTACCACCCCCAGCTCCCTCAAGGTCAGTCCAGTCACTTCAAGGATGCCATCCATCCATCTTGCCCTTGGTCGGCCCCTCTTCCTTTTGCCTTCCACTTTCCCCAGCATAATTGTCTTCTCTAGGCTTTCCTGTCTCCTCATGATGTGGCCAAAGTACTTCAACTTTGTCTCTAGTATCCTTCCCTCCAGTGAGCAGTCGGGCTTTATTTCCTGGATGATGGACTGGTTGGATCTTCTCGCAGTCCAAGGCACTCTCAGAACTTTCC